TATGTATGGCAGTACCTCATCGCCTCATCTTGCAGAGAAGGGAGCCTTTTGGCAAAGTGTAATACATGGAGTTAAACTCACAAATAAGTCTTTAACTGAGATGTTCTGTAATACACAGAGCTTATTATTTGACTTTCAATTAACGTTGCTATATATTACATGATAAAATCCTATTAAAAAACTCATTTGAAATTATAAAAAATGCAGACTCAATTTTTACAGATCAGGTGCTCCTTTTGGGGCACGGTTGGTGAGTGTTTTTTTCTTTGAAATGTCATAAAATGGTTTGACCCACTTCCAAGAACAAGGTGAATACTGGGGATTGAGCTGGACTGTCCCTACAGTTAACATATTTTGACAGCTGCAGAGTTGAAAGGGGAACTCTTTAATAGTGACAAGAAACAGTCTGTGCCACAATTTCAGAATACCACAAGAAAGCAGCTGGGAGTGAAAGCTGAAGTTTCAAGTCTCTTGATTGCTTTTCTGAGACATTGTGTGGAAAGGTGGTTTTTTTTTTCTGATCATCTCCCAGCAGGTAGCTCGCAAGGACTTGTATGACTATTTCTTGTTCATGAAGTTTATGTGATGGACAACACTCCTGTGGGTCTGAGGGTGCAAATACCTGTGGTTCTGTATAAGGTCATTCTGTACATTCTGACAGTTTCTCTGTCCCTGAGTTTCCTACCTAGAAAATTATGTTAAACAGTCAATCAAACAGAATAACAGCAAAACAAAACCCATGGAACGTTTTGATGTTGTAAAATAAAGAACTCAGAGACTGAATGAATCCCACCATACAACAATTTGTGCAGTTTTCAGTTCTTCCCTTTTGCACCAGTGTTGTTGAACAGATTCAAGCTGTGCATTAGCAGAACTCCAAGGACTGGGCAGCATCTCATGGATATGACTGTTCCTGAAGCATCTCAGAACAAGGCATCAAGTGGTACTGTAAGAGCTATGTTCAACTGAGGCCTTGTTTACAAAATATCTTTTCCCATTGGCTTTGAATATGTTAAATTTATTTCACTGTGTGGAAATCTTCTATAAATTTCCTTTTAATGTAGCTTCTGTTTTTCAAGCTGAAGATCTTCCTTCAGAATTTAGGAAATAAGGGAGGATTGTTTCTTTGCTTTTTGTGTTCTGCTTCTCTCTAAGCAGAATAGATTTTGTTGATCTTCAGCTTCTGATCCTTCTTATTACCTGCTTCAGGCATTGCTTTTATTCCTGGGACTATGTTTTAATTTTAACAGCACAGAAGGACTCAGTTCATATCCAGGGAAATGTTCTTTCTCCTGAAAGTTTACCTGACTCAAAGCCTTCCACCTTGCTTCCCCTAGGGTGAGCCATGTCATCTATTATTAGTGCTAAATCCTAATGGGCAAAGTTGAAGTGGAAAATCTTGTGGAATAAGTGAATACAGTTCATTGGAAACATCCTTCAAGTCAGCGATTCCGAAGAGCTGAACATTTAAATTGTTTAAAACAAATGTTTAATGGTTTTAATTTTCCAAAGAGCTAAACAATTTAATTGTTTAACAACTGTGGCCTATTAATTACACAGCAAAGTGGAAGCAAATAGTTGTATCAGCCCAAGATATTCCAACAAGCATTCACTGATAGTTGGCCAAAACATTCCAACTCTTTTTTACTACCCTGTCCTGAATAAGTGCCAAGTTCTTGAAAGGAGGAGTGCTTGCAGGCTTGTAAAAACTAAATTCAGGGCACTACAGATCAGGCTGATGTGCCTTCTAACATTTCTTTCTTTAAAGAGAGGTGTTTGACATTGATTATATTGAGCATGAAGAGAAAACCAAAGAGGTAACATTTCCTCTTGGAAATCTTAATGTTAATCCTTAATCTTGGAATCCTGTTTACATACTGAACTGCTTTTGTTTTCTTTGGTTACATGACTTTGAAGAATAAAACTATTCACAGTCTGAAGTAAACTATTATGCTATGTCGTATTATCTTCTCTTTTTGTGCTTTATATATGAAAACAGGTTGATTTCAAGAAGCTAAATGTCCTAGCACATCTGTACCCTTTTGAGTACTTCCAATTGTGTGTCTGAGTGTCTCATCCATATAATTCTCTGTAGTATTTTCCTCTGTCCTTTTCCACAGTAACTATTTTGAGCATTTCATTATCATTTGTTACTTATATTAGTTTTATTACTTCAAAGTAAAAGTAACTATAACAAGCACAATTTGATTAAGCACTCAGTTTCTAATAAAGGAAATCAGTAAAATTTGAAAGACTTTCAACTGTATTTTTATTTTACAGCTTCCAAAAAAATGCATTTACATGAAACAATGTCTACTAAATGAGACTCAATTAAAAACATGATACAAGTATACTTCCTTCATTTAAAGTTTAAAAAAAATAAAATCCAAATGATACTGACAGAACATTTGTGTTGCATAATTATTATGTGGACTATATTTCCCTTCTAATCCCAGAAGTGAGGCTTCTTAATGGAAAGTGTTTCTTGAGAAGTGCACAACCCTCTGTTTATGTTGTAGTTCATGTCTCATTCCATCCCATTCAGTCATTGGAAAGCATGTAGCTGTCTGCTACTGGATCTGTCCTGCCTCGCATTTGCCATTGACTGTGTTGCAGGCACGTGTGTGTATTATCTCCCTAAATACACGAAACAGACTAAGGAAGCGTTTTCAGACAGTTTCCATGTGTTGCTGCTTTTAAAATGTGATGTTGTAGCCACTTACGTTGGGCAGGTTGGAATGATTGGTTTTCTAACTTTGAAACAAAATCTTTGTATTCAAGCTGAGCTTATATTTGATGTGTATGCTATGAATTCTAGACCTTCTTTTCCAGTTTAGTGACTCTAGTCACTTTAGTACTCAAATCTTCCTGTTTTGTTCAGCACGTGAATGAGCATAAATTAGGACCCAGATACGTAAATCCCGAGAGCACTTTGTTATAATAGTTCAGTAATAAATTTCATTGAGTGTTTGTACCTCCAGATGGATTACCGCCATGAATAATGGATTTTCATTTGTAAGATTTTATTGGCTGGGAATTATAGTGACATTTCAAACCGTATGGCAATGGATTGCCCCAATTTGGGATGAGTAAATCCTGAGGGTATTCCAGGGGTTTTTTTATTACATGGATTAATCTCTAGCTGGCATGTTTTGAGACTGATAAAAGATTCTGTCATTTAGCTATAGCATTTAATAATGCTTGCAGCTTTTGGTGCTTTTAATGAAAATTTCCTATTAAATCTTCTGGAGATGCAGTTTGGTCTGGGCCTATGATATCTTGTTAATGTCATTTGGAAAGAAGCTGGTTCTGGCTAATTCAGAATTGTTTTGAATTTGTAAAATTATTAAATACAATATGGTATTTTCAGATTATTCATTCCTGTATCAATTGGAAAGCTTAGCAACTACTGAATGCTCTGTTTGCATCCAATTTAGATATCTTTTGATTTTTGTGTATGTGTATTTCTATACATATACATATGGCTGCACACATCAATACACTGCATCAAGAGTGCTAATGTTAATTTGCAGGAAAACTGAAGTGATACCCTAGAAGAAGTAAGCAGGAGAAAATTACTTGAGGTAAAGATGGAACTGAGTGGTATAGATCACCTTATGTTAAGCAATTGCAACAGCTTGCAAAGCAGGGGTCTCGGGAGCTGTGTAATTCCACAGTGCTTGATCTAATGGTCAATCAGCTAATGCAGTTTCTGTTTAATGTTTAGTTCAAATCAATGGAGCCATCTGGGAGCAGCGCATCAGAGAAAGTTTATAGCTCAAAGAGTCTCTGCCATGTTTATTTTATAAAGATAAATAAATATATTGATACTTAAAGACATAATTTGTAGAGACGGCCAAGTGTTGCGGATCATACAGTTTCAGTTTTGTTTGTGTTTTGTGTTTCTTTACTTTGGAGGGGAAAAAAGAAAGCATTTGTGCTTACAGACTTTGAGACCATCATGTAAAAAAACCTTCACCCCATTCAAGTCATGGGTGATTTATATGTACTGTACTCTCTGAAGTATCAGCAAGATAATAGCTATTATTCCCAAAGTGGTGCTTGACTTCACTAATATTACTGATGCATCAGAAATAAAAAGGGAAAATTTGTCATGGGCAGGTAAATGAGATTAAATGGAATAGCTGTGCTAGGCTGAACTGCTTTCAAATTAAAACAAATTATCAACACAGAAGGACAAGAAGTGTGCTAAAAATGATGAAGCAGGAGAAAAAACACAGAGCATATTCCTGAAGTAATAACTGTTTCCTTTACAGTAGGATTGTACGTGTAGCTGAGTAGAAAAAAAGTGCAACCATTCCTCTGTAGTTTGAGGAAATTTTTCCTTGCGTTATATAATGACGTGCATTATTCATTTTCTAAGAACTTGATATTTTGCTAATTAGTGAAACAGAGTATCTTTTTTCAATAAAAATAAATTTCTGTTTAAGATGTGGGGTTGGTTTGTTTTTCTGACAGTACGTGTGAGCACACTCACCTTAAAATGCAACTTTCCATTTTGATAATTCTTCTTTGAAAGGGGACAGGAAAGAGATGGGTCACACATGGAGCCTGATGTTTCACAGACTGATGCTGTCCTCCCTTGTCATTTCTGTGATGAATGAGCAGTGTCTGACTGATGAAAAATATGTATCTGTCAAGGATGCGTTTAGGCTGATTCATCTAATAAGTCATTCCTTGCTGTCCCGTTATAACCTACAGGCATCTGATTTCTAAGGGCTGTCATTTCATTATACGACACTGCCTGAATGGGTTACACAGGAAGGAGTTTGTCAATTTTAAATACTTTCTCTTGGTGTTCAACTGGGAAGTATTTCTTCTTTCTGATCATAGTATCATTAATTATTTCAGTATCTCCTTGTATGTCTTTCTAGAGTTAAATGTACATTCATGCTGTTTATTCTCTGTAGATTTCTGATATTTATGTATTAATGGTGTGACAACATTCTTAATTTTAAAAAAATTTGTTTCTGGTGCAGGTAGAAGAGGGCTGGTGGGAAGGTATCCTTAATGGAAAGACGGGCATGTTTCCTTCCAACTTCATAAAGGAACTGTCTGATTCTGATGATGCTGGAATAGCACAGGAAGAGCAAGTAAAGCCAAGTAAGAAAATGAAATAATTCTTCATGTTCTGTATGTACATCTGTGTGCTTTCCCAACATATTGAGAGGGTAGTTGCATTCTTATCTCTTTCTTGGAAGTATTTTTGAATGCTTTATTCTTCATTTACATTGTGAAAGTGTCAAGTGATGATGCTAAGTGAGTACTGGCCATGCTACTTGGTTTGTAATGCTGGCGATGCTACTTGAGTTCTGTTGAGACTTGCCCAGCTGCAACAGATTGAGGACACGGAGGGCAATGATGATTATCAGCTTTGTCTTTCCAAATGAATGAAGATTTTTTTCTTGTCTCTAGATGTGGAAATTGAGCAAAGTAATCAAACATTTTCAAAGTGGCTACGCTTATTTAAACGAGGGATTAAAGTGCCATTCCTTCTTCAATGACTCCGGTAGACTTAAGGATTCATAATTATTGGTGTGGGACATGCGGCACTTTTTCCCTCCAGGTGCTGAGCATGTTACTATCACCTCCGCCACCCAGTGCCCCAGCAGCCAAAGGGAAAAAGGCCAGAAATGGGACATGGACTTTGTTCTCTCACTTACAGTGGGCCAGTACTGCTGCAGGTGAAAAGCATGTTTGGTAATTAAGCTTGGGACAGTATAAGCATGGTAGTGGGTTGCCCTTTTTATAGCTTTCCTTGAAGAATAACCTGAACCAAAAGTATGCATTTCTATGAAATGGATATTTGTTGGTCTTCGTGTTTTTTTCTGTTTTTCAAACAGTCTGTTACATCCTGATTTAGTGATTGATTTGGAATCCTTAGTGAAAAGAAAAAAAGTCAATTGTATTGATGTATTTCAGGATAATTCCACATCTACCTACCAAATTCTTCCTTTACGGTCAATTACTATTTTCAGCAGTGCAGATATTCATTGCTGTGTAGTATTCTCCTGAGATCTTTGCAACAGACAAAATTGAAAGGGCTCCCAAGATCTCTGAAAGCTTATTTCAGCTCAGGTTTACCAAAGCCTCTGTAGCTCATGTTGCCAGTGAGAGGCAGAAAGTTACAATGTTTCTTTTTTATTACCTTTTTTATTCTTTCATTTTTCCATTTAAGGCAATTTTATCATCTTTATTCTGTCACACAAAGATAGGATTCTAAGAAAACCAGTGTATGCAATGATGAAAATATTTCCTATTGATTTTGCAATAGAGTTGTTATTCACATATAGTGGCACAGGTGACCTAGTTACGTGGTCAGAGGTGCTAATGGTGTTTACAGGTAATGTTTCTTTATCCAAATGAAAACATGTGTAAAAACGTTAACAACTGTAGTGTGTTGGAAAAGAAAGATGGGCATTAAATGAATCTGCTCACTTTGGCAAGATGGCAAGCTGCTGCCTGTAATTCGTATATGCTGTCATGAATTTGTGTCATTATAAAAACAGCAAGTGTTGGAAGAATTAATTGTACAGATGTAGTGTTAGCTCTGCATTCTGTAGTGCTTGGTAGCCTGTGAATGAAAAAGGTAAGTGATACTGTTAGGGATGGAATGCCTTGATTCTATCTGTATGAAGAAATAAATATTTCTTCCCCAGGTAGTTTGATAATTGTCTATACTGAGCATCCTAAAAGTGTCTTTTAATAAAAGCACACATTGGAGAGCATAACAGCAGACACAAAACATTAGATTGTTCCATCAACCTCCCAGCCAGCATATACTCAATTCATACTGTCAGTTTTGTGTGCTAGTGGTGGTGACTGCCAGCTATCACTTGTAGGACTTGTACTGAGAAGATACCAGCAACAAAGATATTGGTTTTGTCTCTTTAACTAAATTGAAGAGTTACCTGAAAGATAATTTTTCTTTCTCTTTCATATCCGTTTTCTAATGTCATAAACCAGAAGAATTCTGTAAGCCCTCAAAGAGACAAAAAGGGATTCAAGGAATGTTGGTGTTCTCGTGGGGGCTTTGCTGCTTTTTTATTTTCATTTATTTTTCTTAAAGTAACACTGCCAACTTAGGAACTGTATTTCCCTAGGAGAAGTAGGGAATTGTGCACCAGCTCAGTACTTTCTATATGCTTTATATAATTTTTATAGGTGTTATACTCATTACACATGGTGCTTTATGAGGCTATATTCAGGTACCCTCTCTGTATTTGGAAATCTTCATAATGAGATTACAAAACTCTACAAGGTTATACATACGACTAGGAGTGATGATCTCATTTCAAGTATCTGTGTTGATTTCTAAAAACACAGCAAGATAAAAAGCAGCTAAACTCTGGAAGATTTGGACATAAGGCAAACATAACTTTCCAGGTAATATCAGCTCCCCCCTCCTAAATTAAAAACATGACAGCACGTCAAATCTGCAAGAACTTTTTTTTTTTCTTTTTTTTTTCAGAAGACATAGTTTCAATCTGTATCCATCATAGGATTTTATGAGGCAGAAATCTTGAATATGAATTCTGGATTGTTAAGGTTTTTTTCTAGATGAACACTTGGATCCAAGAGGCTTTACCTGTGCATTGAAACAGAACCTTGGGTGGTCACTGAGGTTCTACACAGCTCCTAGAGGGTCCTGGCTGGTTTTGATTCCAGCTCTGCAATCTTGAGCAGAGGCCTTAAACTCTTCAGCATAATTAACAAAATGGACTGCAAGGCTTGGCAGAGTAGCATGGGATCTTTGGAGAAAGGATGCTGTGCAAACACAAGAATATTGCTAACTTGGTAGTTTATGTGTTAGTTCAACTTGATGTTTTAATTTCATTTTACTGACCCTCTCTGGAAAGAATCTTTTTGAAGGCACAAATGTAATTGTTCATTATTTCAACAGAAGTAAGAGAGTGAAGTTGTATAGCTTGGCTTTTTAGGAACAAAGATAATAAATGTACACATTTTTCTTTTCTTCTACTGTGTCCTACAGAGATCTAATGGGGAAAAAGATGCTGTCTGTTTTTGTGTCCGTTTACATTTTACAGCAGATCAAATGCCCAGAATGAATTATCTTGGTTTCTTGGTTTCTTTCCACTTCTACCAATAACCTCAGAAAATGCTTTAGAACAAAAATCTGTGGTTGTTTTTGTTTTTTTAAATGCCTGGGCTAGTTTTGGAAGTGCCTGAGAAAACATACAATGGGTTTTATTAGCCCCTTAACTGAAGGGGCCGGGAACTATGCTTTATAGTAGGTAGTAGCAGATAGTAGGTAGTAGGTATAGATAGTAGATTGCAGATAGTAGGATAGTAGGTGCTTAGCAGATTCAAAAGTGAGACTGTTACAAGATCAAAAGATAAATGAGGCCTGTTATGTCTCAGTGCCTCGCCTGTTCTTCTGTTCAGAAGTTGCCAGGCCCTATCAACTCTGCTTAGATCCTGTCAGTGATGGCCACTGAGAAGTCATGATTGCAAGAGCTAGAATCAGTGACAGCAGCTGATGCTTCAGTCAGGCAACCTACTGTATTTTCAATTAAAATTTTCTGGTGTATGTTCCTTTCTGTCTGATTCTTCACTGTCACGAAGCTTAATATATCTTTCTCTTAGGATTTTCTTAATTGTAGCTTGAATATTTTAATAGCTTTCTTTTAATGGTATCTTGTGTATGCAAGGTGAAAAGATGAATTTGTGGCGTTTTGGCTTCCTTATTTTGTAAAAATAACACAAGGAAGATATTTTGCTGTTAATTGAACTACAAACACAAAGCAAAGAAACTGCTTTTTACAATGTGTAAATAAGTTTAGCTTTTGCTTTCTGAAAAATCCAACAGAATGATGTGCAAGAAAAAAGTCTACATTTTTTGCTTCCAAAATGGGTAGATGCTATATTGAGAAAATTCATGTGCACTATTTTGCTATAAAATTCTACTGAAAACACTCATTTTTATGATGGTTCACCTAGATATATTGTCAGCAAGCTGACATTGATACATTCTTGGGCTTGCCTGGGTACCTTGGGTTAACATAAAAAAAAAAAGCAACTCGGGTGCTTTTACCTTTTGCCTTCACTTGAATTTGTGCTGATTGTCAAAACATGAGTTGTCTTGTTATCAAAAAAAAAAAAAAAGAAGAAATTCATGCTTTTGATAGTGAGAACTTTATCTTAAATATCTGAATAGGAGGTGGAATTTGGTTTCGTGTATTTATGTATATGAGCATATATATTTGTTAATGTGTGACAATACAGCCAGCTAAGCCACTGGCTAAAAAACTGTTTTATTCAGGTTTCGGTGCTCAGTTTGGCTAAGCATTGTTTAAGACCAGGCCCTGAGTCAAAAACAATTGTAACAAGTCCTCATGGAAAAATGCAGTATTTCTGGTGCTCACAGGATCCTGGTATATTAAAGAAATTTGAGTGTTTCAGTGCCCTCTTTGGATTTCAGCTGTGCTTGTTCAGTGCATCTGCATCAGGACTGTTGAGCCACTGTGAGTACATCATTGCAGTACTAACTTCTTTCAGGCTTCCCCTGTGCTCCGTGGAGAGGCTGAATAAGGCAAATCGTTTCATTTGCAAGTTTTGCAACATGATGGACAACAGATAAAACCTAAGAAAAAATGCGTTCTGTTGGACATTATGAAGAGCAACCTCAGCAAAATCATGAGATTATCTGATAGACATGCAGTAAGAATAATATAACTTCATGTACAATCGGATACTTTTGTTAATATTCTCATTGTTTTGCTATAATGAGGCTTTAAAAATGTTAGAGACTGAAAATACAGATTAAAACCTCTTCCTCTCCCTTCTTTTTACCATTATTCGATCTTTTCACCCCCACCCTGCCCCTCCTCCTTTTTTTTCCTCTTTCCTTCTCTTGCTTGCTGTCAGGAAAATCTGCCTTTGAAGGGACAATTCTGTACAGAGTGGCACCGGCAAAGATTGACAGCTACAGACGCTATAACAGTGAGTGTGTTTCAAAATCAACAAGCAATAGCTTTAGTCCTGAGTACCTGTTTGGTTTCCCTACACTGCTACTCATTTATGGCTACTTTAATTGTGTATATTTGTCTGTAAGCTAAAGTCAGTTTGCTGCTAATGAGCTG